CCATTAACTAACATTATTTGAATACCTAGTCTATGCTGTTGTGACAGAAGTTGAACAGGCTTGAAGAATAAAGAGAAATTTCATATTTCTGGGAGTCCGATTCTGAACCTTGACTTGCACTGTACATTCTCGAAAAGGTTATTAGATAGATTTATTTTTACACAAAGGTAGGATATCACGAAAAAGCACCAAAAAGACTTGTGGCATTCGGAGACACTCATGATAACCTAAACCCATTGGACACTTTCGAGAGAGTAAGTACGAGCAAAGTCTAAAAGAAAAATAACAATGTAAAATTCAGTTATATTTACGTTGTTGCTTATATAAATGCATAAGAGCAAAACAAAAGAGTGAATTAAAATAGAGTCATCAAATGTTATTCAGATCTTATTTAAGATCTTAGATTATCTTATCAAGATCTTATTAAAAAAATTTTAAGAAGCGTCTAAGACTCTTACTAGACTAGTTTCACATTCCATAATATTTGATGTTACATAAAACTTTTCTACTAGTTTTTAAGAAAACGGATAAAAAAATCCGTAGAGTTTATCAGAATTCAGACAAAGTTTCGAAAGACTTTGAAGTTAGGGTAACTATATTTAAGGGGGTGTCCTCCATTTATAATTTTCTCTAACGTTCTCAGTTTGTAGAGGATACTTCGAAGTATATGTTTTTTCGGCTTATTGACATTATTTGGCTAAGAAAAAATTTTAATTATCTAAAAAAAATATTGTTAAATTTTTGAACAAGTGACTATTATAAAAAAGTTTCTGTCCATTCTCTACTCATCATAAAAACTTGATTCTTGCCTAGATCGATAGAGAAATGTGTGAAGAATATTTACTACGAGATAATATACAAAAAGTTTTGTTCTTTCCTTCCTGTTATTGACTAATTAGTGCTAATTAACGTTAATTTAGCCTACTCTACCAGCTTAAAGTCCCATTTGTAAAATAATGACTCAACGAAAAAATTCAAGCAATACCTTATCTGGTTAAGATTTTCACGGACTATACGCTGAACTACCCTGAAAGTCTTAGAATTCAATTTTGGCCGCCGGGTAAGTCTGGTAAGTCGAAAATTTAACAATATATTTCTCAGTAATTAATTTTTTTCTTAGCCAGATAATGTCAGTAAGCCGAAAAAAGTTCAAGACATATACTTCGAAGTATCCTCTACAAACTGGGAAGATTTGAAGAAAAAATTCAAAATCTAAAGATATCGCTAGTCTTGGGCTCAGCGAAGATTTTTTCATCTCACCTTACGGCCAGTTTCGTTCGAAGCAAGCATTTTGAAACAAAACTCTGGGTACAAAAGTTGTTCAGAATCGAATTCGGTAGTCCCTAACGAGAGGTTTTTTTAAAATTGTCCTTTCTTGATTTTCTAAATTAAATTTTACAGTTTTAAAGTTTTAAAATTTCGTATTTTCAAATCTTTATATCAGAAACCACAAATCCGGAAACCGAAGGTTTTGTTGAGACATATACTTCGAAGTGTCCTCCACACGTCTAATATAAACGCTATAAACGCTCTGTTTCTGAACTTTCCACGATATTTTCTCATCAGACTGCAGTCATAGTTTACAAAAGACGACAAGTAGTGAAAAACAGCAATGTCGACAAAGAAACAGTGAAAGATTTTTCCATTTGAGGTTTCATTGTTAGTACTTATTTAACAACACAATGTTGTAAAGTAATGATGGACGTAGAAATAAGACGAAGTTCCTTTTGATCGATAAATGTTCAGGGCCCTCAATTTAATCTAAAATATATATTTTATTTCTTGTTAACTCACACAGTTGCTAGCAGTAGCTTCTTTATTGAAAACTAAAATAAAAAACTGAAATTGATCATACGAAAAATGCCCCTGAGCAGGAAATGCTTCTTTATTTCTAAAAACGATGAACGATACAATGTATACATTGTTAGTACTATAAGATAACTCAATAAAAGAAAATGTTCATAATTTTAACATACAAGAAGAAACACTAATTGCTGATCAGTGCACACCATGATGAAATGATGGTTAAGTGCTTTTTCAACTGTTTGTAGCACTTTAGACACTTCATGACTCGATACAGTTACCAGATCTGTAATAGAAAAAGACTTTTCATTTTTGAATAGCGTAGCAGAGAAGTGTGTTTCCGTGCTTTGTTTCAAAATAGAAAAACTAACTTGAATCGAGATTAAAAAAACCTTAGTAGAATTCTAAGAAATCATAACACTGAATTCTAACACCATTTTCAAGGCTCAGATTACCTGTCATTTATTGCATATTCTTGTAGGATTACATTGGATCAGATAGGATTATATTATATGATTGATCGATTTAGAAGAAAAGAATATTAGAAGCCATGGATTACTTTAGTTAACGTTCAATTTATCATGCTATCATGAAGAATGTTTCATTTGACCAATATATGTTAGCAGAAACCAAAAACCTGGAAATACACACAGAAAATGAATAGAGAAAATATAGAATAAAAAAATGGCAATAATAAAAAAGGATGAAGTTACGCACGTACAAACATTATCAGTATAGTCACATGTTCTTTTATTTTCTTTCTATGCTTTCAATGAATGCACATGCCATTGATCATTATTCTAATGGAGATGATGTAAATGAACTTTAAAATATGTATCAATCATTATTGAAAAACGGCGTTATAGAAAACGCATTAAAACAACAAAGTTTCTTTGAGTAAATAGTAATATCAAAAATCCGATACAACTGGCATCAGAAGGAAACAGAAGAGATAAAATATAACAAGTGATACAAACTTATACATAGGAGAATTAGTGGATAGGCTAAATACATAGACGTAGGTAGCTTTCTCGACGTTTTTTTCAATTATTATGACGACATTGAATAGTCTTGATTTACTTAACTGACAGACAAATGCGTTCAACCATGTATTGTAAACGTCGAAGAATTTACCACAGGTTTAGCCTTAATTCGTGTCTAATTACTCGCTCTCACCTTTGACGCCATCTGATGTTATTCAAACTTACAAAGCCAATTAGAGACAAATAGAGAGGACATTCCACTATATGAGTTTTTTAATCTGACTGCCTTTTCATGATCTAAACGCGAAAAGCGTATAGATCAGCTGGTTACATAGATCAATTAGTTGGTTTACCTTACTTTATTTGATTCCATGCTTTTAGTGAATCCATTCAATGGTGTTTCAGCAGTTAAAAATGAACGATAGATACTACTCATCAGTATTGTTTTTTTCCATTGCAAAAAGGAAAAGTTGTTTCCTTCCTCTGTGTTTCTATTTTCAACTGAGATCAAAGTTATATAGATAGTCTATGTACATGTAAAGATAGAAAGAATGAAAATTTTTTTTTCTAAATTACTAAAGAACAACAAACTCTGTCATGTCTGTTTGAATATTGTTTCTTATATTTTTTCTTCTCTTCAACAATAGCCATCAAAATACAAATGGTTTTCACGGTTAGGGAAATATATATACATACAAAGAGCAATGTCGTACATCTTTTTTCCATAATAATTAGAGAACATTATAAACATGAAGGCGGTGTCCATAAATCACGTGACACTTTTTTCGATCATAATCCGTTTGTGCCCCAAATAATTTGATTTGATCAATCGCTGCTCTTCCCTCCTCCGATCACGTGATCATGATTGTTTTTTCCGATTTTCTCTAGTATAAAACGTTTTACTTTTAAATAAAAAGAGACAGGCATTCTTTTCTACAGTTACTAGTGTACAGTAGAACACTTCTAGGTGATCACCTCTCTACAGTGACGAATTCTTCATTGTGTTCACTTTAAAGTCTAACTTAGCGACTGGTTCCATGAGCTCGAAACGAGCCTTTCTAAAGTGGACACTGTTCTAATCTTGACAATGCATATCTCTGTCGGATTCCAAACTGCTTTTTCTCAACGACACCAGGTGTTTTAAACGTGTCAGTAGTTTGCATGTGATAAGTCATAGAACCTCTAATGAATTAATTCAGGATGAATTTGAGTTCTAAAATCGCTCTATGACTGATTAAAATGGATTCAAAACATTTTAAAATATCTCTCTAAAATGATGACTCTTGTAGGGTGATTCCTCCCAAAAACTCCTGAGAATACTCTCAATTGAGCGATTTAACTGTAATATCTATGACTACAGAGAATCGACCACACTCATACATTTCAAGTTGAAGTGCTACCAGCTCGGCTAAATTTGAACTTACTCTTTTATATCGCATCGAAAGTAGGATGGTGATAATAGAAAATATAGTTATGTTCTTTCAGTCCTGGCTACTATGTCAACAATTTTCCATTGCCATAATCCAACATATTCTCAATTTCCAACTCCAACATTTCAAACAGTCAGTTCAAGGCGTGAAAGTGACTAGATACCCAAAATTTGGTATGATCAATGTTGAGAATTAGGTTGAACTATGGTTCATAGTAAAAAATTGCAATCATTGAGAACACCAATCAAATATTGCATCTTCCACTGAAAATTCGTTTTATGAATTGTTGAAATTAAATAGATTTTATTTGTTATTTTTGCTTTTTTCTGTGAATGGCGGATTAATGAGCTAAACTGCTTCTATATTTTGACAAAATCGATTAATCTCTCATTACCCGTCATTCCTGGAAAAAAACTAAAAATTCCATTCTACGTGATTGATGGACGCAGCCAAGTATATCTTGACTAAAACTAAACTCATTGTTTGTTTATGGAGAAGAATAAAAATGAATACAATAATTCAGCTAAACACTGTACGGAATTGTGTTTTACCTTTTATATATATTTTGTATCACCAATTAATGACATGGAAAAAAGAAGAAGAAAGAAAACAAATGGGGATGCTCAAAGGGTTTTAACGGATGTCATCTATCACCATCTATTCAAAGTCGAAAGTTTTGATTGACATGAAGTGTGCCAGATAAAGCCTTCCTCGAATCAAAAGTCTATTTTAACTTATTTCGACTTTTGTACGGGATCTCTTACACAATTGTTGGGGTTCATGGTCAAACACCTGGTGGACAATCTGTTTTACATATACATTTATGTTGTTTTTCATTATAAACCGGTACATTTTTTGAACAGTATTTTGTGCCATTATTCAGTACTATACCATACTGAAAACCTTGATCAATACATTTAATTCGACATTTTAAACGTTCATCATGGCTTAATTCATAAAACTGCAGACGGGATATGTCACTAATAAAAAAATCACGAATTCGAACAGATTTTGATTCTTCTTTTGCCAAAGTTTGACATTGTAAGGAATGATTTTGAACGAACAACCATAACAATAATGAATATGTAATAGTTGCATTCATGTGGACTCAAGCGAGCAATATTTCATTATTTACGCTTGTGATCATCAAAAAGCGCGTCATCTTAGGTTGGGTAATTACGATAACATTAGTTGATACAATATCTGATGTATCGTTTAGGAGTCTATTACACTTTTATGGATGCGTGTTTATTAACCGATGACCTATGGCCCTGTCAGTACAAAAATCAGAGTACATCTTCTGATACTGTTAAAAGTTTTAGCCACCATCGTCCATCTTTCGATCGAATGAGCATTTCTGGTCTAAAAAGTTCTATTCTTTAACTCGCGAACAAAAGTTTCCTCCGAATTATGTCGCTTATTATAAACTGAGTGGACGAAACTGTAAATAACGTGAGTCTTATGATCATCAGCGTACGCTCAACGTTAAAAGATCGAGTGGTCAAAAGACCAAAACCCGCTTTTGAGCAAATACTATAGACAAAACAAAATTATTGTCCTAAAATGTTTGCGAAAATCAAATCTTGCTCAACAAAATATGAATCAAATGGAATCAAACATTTTCTCTGCAACAATCAGTTTGTAAATTTTAAGAAAAGCGTTCTAAGGTAATTTAGACAATTCTCTTATCAATGCGTACCCGCAAACTACTTCATTCAGCGAATATGCAAATCACATGAGAATCGTAGTATGATGGAACGTACTAAACTCACAGCGACGAGTTGGAAATATGGATCTAGCACACTGCTCCATGTGGCTGGTGATGTCTGTATGTTAGCAGAATCAACAGTTTTAAATGTAACGGTGAATTCAAAAATGTTTACTAAAGATCTATCAAAATATTTCAATTAAATGATTATTTTTAGTTATTGATCTTAAATAAGCGACATTAAATGTAGACAATGTTGTTTATTTCTCAGACTGATTAACAATTATACGTGAATCATAGGAAAGACAAGAATTATAATTATTGTTTATGTGTTTGGTAAACTGCAACACGAGAAAGTAGATGAGAATCACGAGTTTACAACAGCAAACAACACATACGTAAACAAATTTTCGAGTAGCGTTCATTTTGCACAGAATTGTACATCTCGAAAAAAAATAAAAGCACTACTATGTCAAGAAAACAAGAAGAAATATGTACAAAAGAAATGATCAAAATAAAGAAAAGAAAAAATTTAGTAGAACGCCAAATACTGAGTATGAAAATCAAGATAAGTTATTATAGAATGAGTTATGTGTGTGAAGGAGTTGCGAAAAAAAATTGTAGCAAAGAGAGCCTGAACAAATCTGTATTCTCCTACAGCTGTATCTAATATATTTTGTAGGGAACATTTCTGAAATATAAGGAACAAGTTGTGTATATAAATTGATGCTGATAGTATTCATTCAAACAAGTTGCAAACGAGAGAGCGCTCAAAAAAAAAAGATTCATCTTAGAATAAGAGTCATAAACTACTCTTAGAAATAAGATTTTAAGATTCATTTGTCTTTGAAGTAAGACATATGATTAGAATAAGACGGAGACATTTTAGAGTAAAGAGAAGAAAAGTCCGACACTTTAAACTTGTTAACGATATTGACGGATAGAGTTACAGTATTCATCCTACACGTCCTCAACACAATATCCGAATCATATTTTTTATTGTGATTTTCGAACGTGAGAATGCTCTTAACGCTCTTCAAATTAGAGCAACAGAAAGATGTTAAACTATCAAAATATTCCAAACAAATTATTGATTGAAATTAAACTTTGAATTAATCCAATCAGTGAAAGTGCGCAACTAAAACGACAATTGAAGACAGTCTTATTTTCAGAGTTGCCATCTCAAAATCTATAGAAAGCTGAAAATAATGCATAAAACATCGAAAAATTCCAATTTCTGTGAGACTTATGCCGTAAACCAGATACAAAAAGATCAGAAATAAATCTATAAAATCCATGGAAGAAACCTTCAAAATCGGAAATTTCAAATAATTTAGAAGCAAGTCCGAATCCTCCAGATAATCACCGACCAATATTACTACTATCCCTTTCAAATCTAAGGCAACCCATTGTTTTTTGTACAGGTGTACCACGGTGTACCTTTCGAAGCAAAATATCCGAGCCTGTCATTAGAAAAATCTACATAGCTGGATATTGGTCTAAATACATGTGGGTATACAGCAGACGTCACTCTACAACCTGGTACAACTCCCATACCTCCATCTACCATGATTCGGACACTACAGGTGATCTCCGAGGATCTACGTATGACAAAATAATAATACATAGTACATACACAAAAAAATCATAAAGAAAGAGGAAAACTTCAACAAAATATAAAATAACGCCACTTCCGAATCACTATACAGAACGACTCTTCCATCTTCTTCCAACGCTTCTCTCAATGCTTCACTTCCTCTATCGGATATTCGGTTCAATCGAAGATCAAGTTGAATCACAGTGTTATTTAATTTCAGTGCGTCTGCCCGTGTTTCACTGCTTCGATCGGATATTCGGTTCCCTTCAAGTTCCAGTTGAATCAGAGTATGGTTTACTTTTAGTGCTTCATCACCTCTGTCGCGCATGTCGTTTCCTTCAAGATCGAGTTGAGTGAGTTTGTTGTTCACTTTTAGTGCTTCTGCCAATGCTTCACCTCCTCGATCGGATATTCGATTCCATCTAAGATCCACTTGAATCAGACTATGGTTCACTTTTAGTGCTTCTGCCAATGCTTCACCTCCTCGATCGGATATTTGGTTCCAGCTCAGATCAAGTTGAGCGAGAGTGTTGTTTACTTTTAGTGCTTCTGCCAGTGCTTCACCACCTCTGTACCGTATTTTGTTCTTTGCAAGATCAAGTTTAGTGAGAGTCTTGTTTACTTTCAACTCGTTTGCAAGTATGGTAATGACTTGTTCAAAAGCGTTCTGAGCCGGCGTGTCATCGAAGTCGCTTAATTTCATACGAAGTGTTAGTGACGATAGTTGTGTCATACAGGACAAATGTGGCACCACGACTTTGATCACTTGTTTCGGATTGATAGCGAACAACGACAATGAGCGAAGATTTACTAATGAGTTCGTTCGAATTTGGACGAAGAATGAGTCAAAGTCGCAGGTCTGTTTAGACAGACACAGAGAGCGAACTTGTGATGGAAAGTGTTCGCAGATAAAGCCACAGCTGGATTTACTGATGTGATGAAAGTTCAGATGAAACTGAAGACTGCCGAGTAGTCTATCGAAACGATCGTTTAGTCCAAAGAATGAGTAGAGAATATCATAAGCTTCCAAATACCCGAAGATTTCAGAAATCGCTTCATTCGCAAGCGATTGAAATTGTGTCATATCTAAACAAATGTGTACCGTCAAGAGGTTGGATCCGTAGGTTCTCTTAGATGAAGAAAGGCTTTGAAACACTAAGAAAGGAGAATGGCAAGGTGCATACGCGCTCTCGAATATGAATAGCAGTGCCAGATTCAGTGATGGTTCTTCCGAATATTAGGCACGGTTCCGTCCTATCAGCCTAATGGGAAGAATAGCCAGCCATTAGCATTTGACTATGCTCATGATCATTATAAGAGCCAACACCCTCTCTGATCAAATGTGATGAATAACACACGCACGTTTTTTCGGTTTTGTTTCATTCTATTAAAAAACACAACTACACACTACTACCCATTTCATAGGACAATGCAGTTAGTTGCAACTTGAATAACTTCTCAACGAAAGTAGCTAGAGCCGTGTGGTTTGCCTTGTTAGAAAGAGAAAAGATAACTTTATCAGGAAATGTAACATTCAAGCAGGTTGCACCGGCTTCTGGTACCATCTATCGGGGGAACTTCTTTAAGTGGGGTTAGCGCCGAAAGTTCTTACAGCATGGAGTTGTCGTATGACATGAATTTGATCGAGCAAACATTTCTCTACAACCCTACACAATCGGAAAATTTATTAAACTTCAAGTCTGACCCGGGAAGGTCAAAAACCAAAACCTCTAAAAAACGGTTTTTTATCGGAAAAGTGCAAAAAGCTTGGACAACAGAGGTGATGGCGGGGGTGACGAGTGGTAAGAGTGAGCCACTTGACAACATTCTAGCAGTGAAGCGATAAAAAACTGAATTTCTTAGTTCATACCAGCGAAGTCAGCATAAGATCAGACTTGCAGTTTATTGCTGGCTACAAAAATATAACATTAATATATTTATTTGTATATATTTGTATATATAATATTTCTTCATGTTCAGTAGTATATTAATAAATTAAACTTTCTTATATTCTTTTTCTTGTCTGTCTACCTAATCATTAATTGGTAATCATTGCTAGTTAATTGATATATATTCTTATATATATTTGCTTTACTTTATATTTTCTTTAACTGATTTGGTGATCAAAAGTGTAATTTTTCGATGATCATTTTGATAGAAAGAAATTTGGTGATCAAAAAAATACATACCCATTAAAGATTCGATAGAATTTTCCATCCATCGTATACTACTATCCATTTCATAGGACAATACAGTTAGTTGCAACTTGAATAACTTCTCAACGAAAGTAGCTAGAGCCGTGTGGGTTGCCTAAATTCTATCGAATCTTTAATGGGTA